ATCCATCTTGTTCGGCAAGCCATAGTGGTAAGGGCTCAGCCGCCATGTTTTCTTCATCCGAAACGGACCACACGGCAGCCGGTCATGGCTCCCCATCTCCAATTGGGCATCATGCGGTTATATGAAGATGCTCACGTGGGGTTTCCTTGTTAGTTCTGCCTGGTGGGCCAATCAGAATAGAAGAAGGCCATGATGTATCTTATGCAAGCTGGTCTATTTAATGGGGTGAGTGCCTCCATTGCTCTCAGTTGCGTCCTGGCTGTAGAGAGGTACTTCAGTCCAACTGCCTTGCTCTCAGCTTTATTTTTTGGTTTGTCTTGGCTTGGTCTCTTTAGCATTGAGTCTTTTTGATTTTCCTTTAATTTCTTGATTATTTTTATTTAGTGGCACTAGGATTTGGGAAAATGCGGGAAGGGTGGGTGGAGTGCATTTGGGGACTTGAGAGGAAGGAAGAGCATCTCTTTTCTCTTGCTGTGCTTTTCTTTAAAAATATTTGGGTGGCTCCTTGAGATCCTTGAGTTACCCTTTCGCTTCTTTTCCCCCTCCCCTCCTCTCCTTCAGAAAATACTTTCAAATGATTAACAAATATTATTATTAATAATAATCCCCGCAAACAAACAGAAAGGTCTAATTCTCCGAAAACTGCTACCTTGTTACCTACCTACCTATAATTCCATTCCTTTGCAAACAGCTTCTCTCTATTTATATTTCTCTCTGTGCTCTAAAAAGAAAATAAATTCCAAAAAATCAGGGCATGACAGAAACTTTATTAAACTAACAGTGGGCTAACAGTGGTAGATGTGTTCTCCAAGTGTGGTCATTTTTATCCCGATAGCCCTAAAAATGACAGGAAGGGGAGCCCGGGGAGTCCCCTCCCCCCCCATTGCCGCCAATAGGCTGGATCTAGCTGCATTTTTGGCAGCGGACCAAAAATGGCTATTCAGCTACCCACCCATTTTTGGAAGGCCTGCGGAAATAGATCCGGGGGTGTCCTGAAATTCGGCCAGCAGAAACAGATAGAGGTTCAGCCGAAATACACAAGCCTAGCATATACCCTTTGAAGGTGATTCTTGCTGATTTGAAGTAGGATCCCCACAAACAGTGTTGCAGGATATTATCGGGTATTTCCACATAGGTTTTCCCTAAAAACATGGGGATATTTGGTTGTATATCAATGGGAAAGTTAGTAGGAACCCAATGGCTTGTACTGGGCTTTCCTTCATCCCATGTATCTTTCAGCTTTCATAACTCCTAACTACTTATTCTTATTGTAGGGAAGTCCTGAGAAGACTGATATCCGGGACAATGTGAACCTATGGAAATTTAATTACAACTCTATGTTCAAGGAACTTTGTGTTTATTGCCACTTTCCGGTACTTGTTACGTTGGAGGTGGACGTGGATGGAGACAGCGATGAGTCAAAAACCTTCCTGGGTTGCAGTTTGTATTGTTATTGAATCTTAAATAAATGTAGGTTAATCTGGTGTGATAGGACATAATATATTATCTAGTTAATAGTTTTACATTCCCTATCTTTCTATCTTAGAACTCATAAGGCATTCATTTTGTGCCTAATGTCTAAGAGTTTCTTCATTTGCTACTTGTCCTAAGTGGAGAACAGTTGAATGGGATCTCCAGCACGAAATGTTAAATTTGTTCGTGTGCGTAGTTATCCAGACATACCTTTCAAACTTGCTTGTTTATTTCAGCATGACCATTAATGAATATCAGTCCATTTCTTTATATGCACACTGTGGTATCATTTGTATATTTGGTAACCGCCATTCCCATATGAAACTCCTCAACTCCATCCCTGGATAGTGTGTATGTACATATAAGTACCCATTGCTTATTTAGAGCAGGATATTAAGCATGTATTCAACGTGTGGAAGCATTCCCTGTTAGGGACTTATTCACTTCAGTTTTAATTCTGGTAGTCACTCAGAAATGATGGTAGGGAGTCAAGTCTTCAGATAACACACACACACACACACACAATATTTAGTCTTGTTATAGAACTCTCTTATGGTAAACTATTGTTCTTCCCTTCCATTTAGCTTCTTAACTATTGTATAATGTGATCCAGAATTATATGTTCATTGTAGACTTGCCAGCCTGTGTGGTTTGCCCAGGGTAATCAGTCCATCTTAGAGATACAACCTTTGTGTTTCCAGAGGTGGAAGGTGGCCACTAATTCTTCATCCTATTATGCATTGCTAGGTGTAATCTGACACCCACACATCCAGTAGTCTTTAATTTAATCTCCACATTGCAGATGAGTTTATCTGCAGAGGAAATAACCAGTACAGTGGCTGTTATGTGCTTCAAGTCATTTTTGACTTCTGGCAACCCTAATGCAAAAACTATTATTTCTTGACAAGATTTGTTCAGGGAAGGGGTTGCCTTTGCTTTCCTCTGAGGCTAAGAGTATGTGATTTGCTTCAAGTCTACCAAACGATTTGAACCCTGGTCTCCAGAGTTGTGGTTCTTGTTCCAGCTACTAAATCATTGTACTTCGCTGGTTGTCATATATATGTTATAACCAACCAACACTTAGTTGGTTATAACATATATATACTTTGTTAAATGTTTCAACTGCTATGGCTCAGCATGATATACTTGTGCTTTTTGTATTAAGTAATTAGCTTTTTTAAACATTGTAATTATGTATGTATGCTGAATCCATTCACTGTCTTAAATGCTAATATTTTTAGCTAACACCATTTCATATGTATATTTGTCTTCTGCTGATAGCAGAAGGAAAAATAGAAAGCCCAACTTTTGGAACTTTGAGTTTCTTCCCCATTTCATAAGTGTTTTTTACCACCTTGGTCGTCTTTTTGTTTTTCGAAGCTAAGCCAAATCAACCCTGATTAGAACTTGAATGGGGGGCTATTACAGATGCTGTAGGCTATATTGCAGAGGAAGGAATAGACAAAACTACCTCTGAGTGTCCTTTGCCTAAGAAAACTATGAAATGTATGGGTTCACAATAAGCTATAAGGTGACTTGAAAGCACAGAGTTCTGAAAAACTTTTTTAAAAAGTGCACAGCTTGCTGCTATTCTTGATACTGCTTCCCAAGCTCCCACTATTCTGGGAACTAGTACCATATTAATTAATGGTTATTGCATGTAATTGTTTCTTTCTTTCCTGAAGAGTCTTCAGGGATCCACAGCTGATGGCTTATAGAGGGGCATGTACCACCACTTTAGGTAGTACTTGGGTAGTACTCGATTATGGTCCTATTCTCCTTTTTTAAAAGAAGGTGAAGTTAGAAGTGAAGTTAAGGCTAATAGGAAAATAGGTGAGGATGAAGGGTAATCTTTTGTATGGGTAGTGATTGACTGTAGTAGTGAGCTGATAAGAATGGTTCAAAGCCGTTTGCCAGCAACAACTATATTAAAAATTACAAAGTTTGGCAAGGCACTTGGGTAGGCTCCATTGGCTCATAGACATCTTTACCCAGGAATCTCTATGTATTTAGTAGAGTGGGTATTCAAACTTTATGACCTAATTGAGGTGCCAAGTTCATCTGGTGAGCCCACATATCCATCTTTTAAAGCTTAGATGAGTGACTACTACTAACACTTGTCATAATGCCTCCAGTGTGAAACACAAGACCAGTTACTCTCCCAAACTCACTAAAGTTATCCTTCAACTGACTGTTCCATCCACCAATTTGGAGGGAAAGAAAACTCTGACCTATTGTCTCAAGCCTTTGGGGTTAGATATGAAATTCATGGAGGCACCACAAGTTGGCAGGCAACTTGAACATAGACCTACATCCCCGGTTCTTCTACTTATTTTGTATTATACTTGATTCTGTGCTCATAAAATGTGGATTTCACACTATTATTGAAACGTTAGACTATAAATCTGATAAATAAGTAATATCTGTTTGAAGCCTATGCTTGTTGATGATGTCTTCACAAAATAGAGTTCCTGTGGAGAGATGTTATGATATGAAAAGATTGTTCTGATATCTCTTTATTTAACCAATTTTTAGCCTACATATCTTTCATGATAGAATTCGAGATGACTTGCTTGAAATCCCCAGGTGGTCCCCCATCCATTCACTGTTGAGATAAGACATGTTGAAGACTCAAAACATTCTCCACCCCAAATTTTCTTCATTACTGATTTTATATTGGGGGAGGGGGGTGTCTAATTCTTGGTGTTTAGATGTATCTTTCTGCAAATTCTGACATTTGGGAATCCTAGTGTTCCAGACTGGTGAAGCTTACTGGAACCAACACAATCTTACTGTTGTTGGTGCTGATTGTAGTTCCAGTCCAGGTGCATATTTTGTGATTGTATAAAACAAAACAAAGAATTAGGTACTGAATGGGAAAATATTTTGAAAACAAGTTTCCATTATGGCTTGGGGAAGTTTCATAGTTTATTTGTATAGTGAATCCTTTTAATGCAAAGGGTCAAAACCTTGGCCATTCTAAGTAGTGCTAAGAAAAAATCTTGACTGTAAACAGCTCTTGTCAACCTGGTGCATCCTGGATTTAATTATTTATTTTGCAACACTGCTCATAAGTAAGTTATGTGGCATTTCAACCCAATTTTTTTAGGAATTAGGTGAGATGGCATGTTATTCAAGTGTACCTTATACTGTGTAATGCAGACCAGATCCTGTGTTGCCATTGTGCATGTCCCTAGTCCTTACTTACTTGTTTAGGCGATCCCTTGTAGCCTGAGGATGATGGTCCTCCAAGTCTGGTGTCTTGGCAGTGGGTTCGTAGGTGTCCCTAATCCATTTGAATATTGAAATGAATTTATTCTGCATTAACATATTTTAACACATATTATTTATCATTTCCCTGTATTTCCTTGGACAAGTGACAGGATGAATATTGTTTCTCTCTGTCAGGATTCAAGGTGGAAAAAAAAGTTTTGCACAATCTGGTCTCTCCACGCTTTATAGCATGGTGTGTTACTGCCATACTGTTTTGGCATTTTCTTTAAATTTGTTTTCTTTTTTCCTTCCAGTATCATCTTCTTGTGATTGGAGGCTCCTAATAGGAAACCTTCCACCCATCAATGCTCTGCCAATGGTAAGTACCCCAAGAATGCTCCAAGTATGATTTCATGTTTTCACTTTTCTTTCATAAAATTGTCCCTAACATGAAAGTGAGAAACAAGCATACTGTTTAGGAAAAATGCTTCTACACAATGGATCTGCTTTAATTTGGGTGATATGAGCAGTTTGGTTTTGTGTTTGTGCGCAAGTGCATATATGTGTGCTTTTGTGTATTTTATTCACTTATATTTTAGTTAGCCTGACATGTTCTGAGTGCAGTTAGTAGCACTTCCGGGTTTCCCTTTTGGCTTAGATGTTTTCATCTAAACCCAGTAACGAATTCTTGCATCCTGAATCTTAAATTTTGATAAGTGCATCATCACATGGCTGCCACTGGGCTATAGTATGAGCCCAGTACATCACTTCAGGCCATATACTTGGGAAAGGATATGGTTTATGCAAGCTGATACTGACCACTTCCACCACTCCCTCCCCATTATTTCTACATTTGACTTAGTATTTACATCAGAACCAATGTTTCTTGAGCTCAGTTTGAGTAGTTCTTCTTGTCTGTGTGATATGTTTCCTCTTTTGCAATGTACACATGCATTCATGAATTATGAGTTGTGATACCATGAGTAGTAGGGTGTGGTAGTGCAATCCCAAGCCACTTTGAACAGATGGATAGGACTGTGCCGTAGATAGTAATGTATCCTCAATTTCTGTGCAGGATACATCCCAGGACTTTGTGTGGATATTTGAAAAATGGATAGTAGTGAATCTTATTTTTTTTCCAGTGGTATAAATTATGAAGGTACTGAGGGGGGAGGTGTAGCCCAGTGGTTCTCAACCTGTGGGTTCCCAGGTGTTTTAGCCTACAACCCCCAGAAATTCCAGCCAGTTTACCAGCTGTTAGGATTTCTGGGTGTTGAAGGCTAAAGCATCTGGGAACCACTGGCTGGTGTAGCGTATACAGGAGGGCCTTAGTAAAGAAATGAATAAGTAATGCTGTGAATAAGTGAAACCGTGTGTATCATTTCTGTGGATACAAGGTCCATACTATATAACATACAGTTCATGTTCAGGAGTGATTTTTAATTTTCTAAACCTGATTAGCTAGTCATGCTGCTGGCCAAAACGTTTTCAGTTTAAGAAGATAGGTGGTGAGGTTGAGACATTTTCAAGTACTGTACGTCATTAAGTGTCTTCCAAGCCTTTTATTTCTGTCTTTTCAGAATGGTGTAATTTCCCAAATTGCCTTTCCCCTGACAGAATAAAGCCTGTCCCCTCTATTACTGTACTGTTGCATACTGAGATTTATCCGAGACTGAAATATTGTTCTGCATTATTGCCTCTCTTAAAAACATGACTCATTGCATATTAAACTACTCCCAACACTTCATTAAATTTTAAAATGCCAGGAAGAAGTTGTTTCAAGCCCTCTTGCATTTATTCCAAGTTTTCCCCCTACAGGTTATGCCAGAAAATAAGTATTTGTATAGTTGTGAGCCTGTTACTTGGTGTAGAGATAACTGATCCTTAATTACAGCTTGGAGCAGAAAACGGTCCTTTCTGTAGAAGAAAGAATACATACATAGTGCTCTCTGTGTGTTTTCACGATTGTGTAATGCAAAGAATAATGTAGTGCTGGTTGAAACATGCAATGTGACAGGTATTTCAGGTTCAACTTTTAAAATTTATTTTTCAATGAAAGCAAGTTTCCATTATGGATGGGAGTCTAGACTTGAAGACATTTCATAATTTATTCTTGGGCTCACGGTATGTACGTAGAAGGCCAAAGGTTGGCCTCCACAACCTGGACTTGGAATGGCCTCTCTCTGAAATCCTGGAAAGCCTTACTTGTCCTGATGAAGACCAGTTACTTTGGACTGCAAACTAGCATTCTTCCATAATTGACTTTGATATATGAGGCTGATACGAGCCGACTTCCAAAACATTTGGAAGGCACCAGGTTGGGTAAAGCTGCAGCAACCAATAGAAATTTAGCTGGCAATGTTTTTATTTCTGTGTTAACTGTAGTAAAGTCTCTTGCAGATATATAAATTTTCACATATCCACTCTCACACATAGGAACAAAGAATTGAAAGGGTGTCTCCCTGCTTTGTGAGATTATGGGAGTTTCCCTGCTATTCTTTTCATTGTAGGTTACTGTTTAAAGTGATTACAGGGGGAAATAGCTCAATATTTTATAAAACACATAGTTTTGTGTATAAAGTGGATTTTCACAAAATAGCCTTTTCATTTTTGTTTTGTTTTTGCTGACATGTGGGAGAGTTGCTTTGAGTCCACTTTGGGGAGATAAAGTGGGGTATAAATAAATATGACAACGACAACAACAAATAATAGTTATCAGAATTTTTTTTCAATTGGATTTGTTGACATTTTGAGACATACATCTTATGTCAATTCTGAAAAAAATATGCAGTTTTTTTTAATGTACAGATATAAAGAATTTGTAGAACAGCATATTAGAGTACAGAAGGCCATGTGGCTGCTTTCCCCAAATAGCCTCATGTATTGCAATAAGTGGAATATATGGATTCTCCTCTTTCCTCAGTTCACAGACTATCCTGTGATAAAGAGATCTTTTGGGGAGGTTGTTTGGGGTGTGCAACAACACTTCTGTTTTAGAAGTCGTCTTTGAATGTTGCTCAGACAGCATCTGCACGTTAAGAGAATCATAACAATACATAGAAGGCTAGGACCTCCATATCCTGCATTTCCTTTGGGTATTGTGCGCTCAGTTTATATATACCATACACTTACTTCCCTAAATAAAAATGAAATACCATAAACTGGCGCTTATTGTAGCTAAAGTCTAAGTTACGAGGTTCTCAGTTACAGTTTAGCTCAACAATAAATTCACCTTTGGCTTTGCATCTCCTATGCCACTGTAATAGGAGATTTATAATATTGGCCTAATGTTGAATGGCACAGTGTCAGATCACCAAGATAAAGGAACAATTTGAGTAATCTGTCCTTGATGCATGCTTTAGTAATGGGCACAACACTGGCCCCTTCTACACTGTCATATAAAATCTAGATTATCTTCCTTGAACTGGATTATATTGCAGTGTACACTCAGATTATCCAGTTCAAAGCAGATAATGTGGATTATCTGATATGATAATCTGGATTATATGGCAGTGTAGAAGGGGCCTCAGTTTAAACACAGTGCTGTAAAATACATTTCTTAAACAATATAGTACAAGGATTAAAATACAATAGTGATAGAATATTAATTCAAAATTCATTGAGTAGAACTGCTGGAAGACATGACTCTTCAATTGTGCCTTAAAATTTGACAGCTCATTCCATAGTCTTGGGGCAGCCAATGAAAAGGTCCTTTGGGTGACAGTTGCCAGTTGGATTCTTGCTGGTAGGAGAAAGTGTCCTCCAGAGGAATTCAGGTGGATTATATAGGAGAAGGCTATCCTGTAGGTAACCTGGGAGAAACCATGTGTAGGGCTTAAAAGATCATAACTAGATTTTCCTGTGACCAATCTAGTTTAGGGGTGCAAAAGTGAGAGAATGTCTGGCATCTGGTAGGTGTCATTACCTGGCTGACATTTATATTTTGTTTGGCAAATGGTAGGTTGGGGAGGTGTGCTTCACAATGATTGATAAGGATATCTGAGATGACAGTCAGTTTGTACCAAAAGACAGAGTCCTTTTTCTGTGTATGCAACCCTACAACTTGGATTCTGTTGGAAGCCCTTGATTAAACCAGGAAGTCTCAATTAAACATAGTTTTCAATTCCATCTGAAAAGATGTGATTTGGTTGCCAGTTTGGTTGCCAGAATCTTCCACCAAATCTGACTTGGATTTTGAGTTCCTAACTTGCTTGTCAAGATGTTAGCCGTAATACTTGGATTCAGTTGGAAACTGTGGTAAAGTAGACATCTTCTGGTGCGATCACAACTTTGCATATGGTCTGAGTGCCAAAAGAATTGGGTGTGTAGACAAAGGATCTGTTCCTTTTTTGTATTTTGGATTGGTTGAGCAGGAATGGTACGTTTTCCTATCCTTGAAGAAAAAAAATGTTTGTAAAGAGTATCCCTTTTAATACCATTTAAGTTTAGCTGTTCTATTTGTACTCTTTTTTTTTTTTTTAGTTAAATCCACTTCCTTTAGGAAAGAGTTGCTAGTTGAATGGGAGGGGAATGTTTCTTTATGATACCATGTATCCACCCCGTATGGGGCATAAAGTCTGATTTAAGCCCCTGGAAACGGGGAACAGGAGTCTCATAAAACTGCTTCTAGCTCTAAAATGTCCAGTATTGGCTTGTTCCCTTAAGTACTCACTTCTTTTTTTCTGGATCATCCTATAAGAAACATATTACATTTTTTTAAAATGTTGAATGTTTGCTTTTTCTGTTGCTATCAATGCACGGTCCAAGGGTGTAATTCTTTTGCTAAGCCTTGGAAGCACTTCTAAACCTCTCTATGTGTATCTCTGTGTGTGTGTGTGTTCAGAAAGAAAAAAAAGAAAACAGAAATACTACCTTCATAACGCTTTTTCATAATACATGCAACTAAACTACTACAACCAACACAATGATATCTAGGACAATCATACCAACATAAACAAACTCACACTAATAAACACATACCAAATATATAACTATGGAAACTATTCTTTAAGCCTCACACTCATTGCCTGTTTATTTTTACTTCTTATTTTCCTTTCCCTTTAGATAGTACTAAATATCCACCCTGCTACTTTTAACAACATTCTTCCAAATCCAAACTTTTGTGATGTGGGATAAAATTTTATGAGAATACATTGAGGATTAAGAGTAAGGATATGGAAGAAATATAGGGAGTTTCCTCATTTTCAAAAATAGCAGCAATTCTGCAGGCAGATCCACGTGGATTTTTAAATTACTTATTATAGCAACATCTTTGTAGTGTTGTTTTTGCAGAATCTGGTACTTAATTTTCTATTAAAGAAAAAAAATCTTCCTCGTTAATAGACATAGACCTACTTTGTTATAATTTGTGACTTCCAA